CCACACACGGGCGAGATGCTTGGGATCATCGAAAATACTTCCTCCCGCCTCCAAACGAATCGCCGGATAAACTGTCCCTATCGTCCTCGGTAAAGACCGGTCAAGATTGACCCTCGACTGACCTCCTCCGGACGCTCTCCCAACAGAGGAAACTCCGGGAGGAGACAAATCCGTACTCACAGAGAGTATAGCCTTCAGGTGACGACGTCGAGCTTGGGTGGCTGCGACATCAACATGGCTGCTACGAGGTCGATTTCCCATAGATTCGGCCGAGCGAGTTGGGGACGTTTGATTCCCGACTGTCGGAATAGCAATAAATAGTGGCCGAACTAAGAATCCCATGGGATCAAACTTGCGACCTCGAACAAAGTGTAGGTCCTCAAGAAGACTTTCAAACTCTCTCCGACGGCCCGACCTCGAGAGGTGCACCCGAACCTTCAGGAGAAGGACTTCTCCTTCTCACTCCTAAAAAAAGAAGAAGAAGGCAGCATGCCAAGGATCATTATAACGTATATCGATGGAATCAAAGAAGAAAATGAGACTTACTGAGGCGAGCACCCTCTGGTCAAACCTGATTTTCCAAACTAATGGGCTCAGCGCGACCTCGTCCTGGAGGAATAGCAAGAGCATATCGAATACGCTTCACAGTGAAAGTAAACCAACGAGTTTGACCTCTACGCAAAGTATCCATCAAACCTCAAAGTTTGGGAATCATCGGAGCGCTCCCAGAAAGCTCTGTACAAAAAGAAATGAGAGCCTCAAAAAGGGAGTTCCAAAAAGAAAAAGAGACGAACTTAACTCCCAAAGGAATAAGAAAACGAATCTTTATCCTTTAACCAGTCCCGAGGAATTCGATTGAAGTCAAAATCACCAAACAAGGTCGGACTTATCTTGAATACAAAGAACTTCTCTCTCCATTTATCATCACGATTGGGAATACTCTCGATAATGAGTGACCATTACGAGGAAAGAAGCATGGTACCAGGAAAACGCGTATTGTTCTTGACCGCACAAAGTTGCCTCTCCTCTAAACCAAACTCAATACCTTCTTCTTGAGCTCGAACCCACAGGCCCAAAAAATAGCCGAGGAAGTTAGGGCACATACGAGTGAAATCCATCTCCATCTCGGCTAGCGCCTCGAGGATAAACGAAGGAAGCGGAAACGACAGACCGTAATCTCGGAAATGTGTCAGGTAAGCCCCACAATATCCAGGACGTACAGTCTCTGGGGTTTCACCAACTTCCGCAATATCAAGTTCTACAATTTAGGGAACTCCCCAAAGATCGTAGATACCTTTGAGATCTTTTCCTTTAAGAATAAAAAGAAGATGAGGGCCGAATCTCTCGTTTTCCTTTGGTTTGTCGAGAAATGAAATCAATGTTAAGAAAGGAAAGGATTTATGGAAGCTATGAGGATTAGCTTTCTTAACGAAGAAGACGACCTGTTTAATAAAATCCGAAAAAGGTTCCTGAAGCAGATGACGTCGACAATCAATCTCAGCCACACGATGCGAGGAAGTGGCCGACAAGAGCAATACATGTGGCCCAACGGTCTCCGGGATACACGACAACGTCGGACGGTTGATTAGCGGTTCGCCTTTTCAGTTTCCCTAACTAAAATGGCTGGGAGGCAAACGTTTGGCCCAAAATTGGGCCCATTAATTTCGGCAATGCGAGACCCATCACCCAAAAAAGATAACAATCGAGCAAACGAGCCCGCAAACAGCCCATCGAGTAAGAAAAGAGCAAACACTGGATCCAATGTCCGTAAGAAGTTCAGGCCCATACGCTATCACCATCAATTCGACTCAAGTCGAGCACGACATGGTCGAACAACTACTCCGAAGATCGTGGGAGCAGTTAGAGGAGAAGAAGACTATAAAGGGTGAGCTAGAGCAGAGTATAAGACACACAGAAAACCCTAGAGCAATTCACTACTCTCATCAACCTCACTTCTTAATCTTTAATTTTCATATAGCTTCAATCTCTCTTTGTTGTTCTCGATCTTGATTATCATTTTGTAACAAACCTTATACTCAATAAAGTCTATTTTTGTCAACCGAATTCTGATTGTATCGTTGTGTTCTAGGAGCATCGCTGCCCAAATCATTTGTCTTCTCTAGATTTAACTCTTAATCACTATAAAATACTTAATGTGGATTTTAGAATCTACAATTATCATAAACATTAATAATAAATCACCATCTTATTAAATTTGATTACATTATAATTATCATAAACAATAATAATAAAATACCATCATATTACTCATTTTACCTATCGTAGTTATACAAATAAAGAAAAAGTTTCACTTGGTTGTCCAACACACAAAAACAAATTCCCACAAATTTCACATCACAAGACGATAAAAACATCAAAAATGAAAATGAAAGGCTTACAACCTACTTCATATCACAACGGTTCCTTTTATGTTTCTTGTGGGGGTGTTCATCGTGTTCACCGTGTTTCAGACCAGTACCCACATTTTCTTCTCTCTATATCCACTGTCACGCTCACTATAATTCCTACTACAAGAGTTTTCTCCAACTCTTGTTAGTTGCTCGGTTATTTGAACTATTTGCAATTCTTGGATGTCTTCCATATGTAAAATACTTTGTCTTTGCTCTTTATCCACTGATGTTAGATAAACAAACACATCTTCATCATTCAAAATATATGATTGCCTCTTAGGTTCCACTACCAATGGAATGTAACCCAAATTGAACCTTCGTAAATGGATCTATTCCCATCTTCTTGCATATCCTCTCCTTCAACAATGAACAAAATATCTCCTCCAATGATGATGTCTTAAAGGATATAGCATACAAACAAGTATCGGTTGGAATCCATTCATAATCATCTCCAGCCTTCGAATAATGTCCATCATAATCAAAGTGTATGTTAGCCGAAAAAGGTCACATTGTCTGCAATATAAAAAAAAATTAAACCATTAAATTTATACTTGGTTATACAGTTATACCATTAAAGTTATACTTGGTTATATAGTTATACCATTAAAGTTATACTTCGTTATACAGTTATACCATTAAAGTTATATTTTGTTATAAATTTATACCATTAAAGTTATATGATATCACTCAAATTACCCTAAGGAGTGAATTACTCTCTCAAATAAGAGATTCAGCTATAGTACTTAGGGATCGAATCCACAAGAAAGCTAGAGAACCTTAAAAATCTAGTCAAGTATAAATCTAGGTGAATATATAAATAGCAGAAACAATAAATAAGTAAACATGAAATAATCCAATCAAGCAAGACAATTACTTAATCGAGAATGGAAACAAAGACTGTTGCAACTAAAATGGAAAAGATGCTAGACTTAGGATTTTTATTCAGGTATTGGGATTATAATCCTATAGGATGATATTCAGTTGCTTGCGAGATACTATAGAGCATTAACTATCTTGATTAACAAATTATTTAAACCATCGTTCAAATAAATAAGTCTAATGACCGGCTGGTCGCACTTGATAGTGTCGATCGATTATTCGATAGGAACATCGACCGATACACTAAACTCATCGTCGATCGATTTCTGTTTGGAAGATCGATCAACGAGTCCGGTCAAGCAATAAACACGAGTTAACATAAACTCACTAAAAACTTCTAAATCAAACTTTCATTATATTTCTAACAAATCTTAGTTTAATAGGGATGTGTTCAGGATTATCAGAATTGTTTAAATATCTCTAATCCAACCTAAATAATCTGGGATTCAATGCTTCTAGTTAGCTACTCTAGAACCATGAGCAATTAGAACATCCTAATAATAAGTATCACAACTAGCAATCCTATAGTTGGGGCTAATCCCTCTAACCTATTTAAACCCTAAATCTAACAAGTAAACTACCCAAACATAGCTAAGCAATTCATAACACAAATCTTATATAATAAACTTGACTTTTCTCCCTTCTCATGCTGCCACATCAGTAGAGAGCATGGGGCAAAAAAAGACACATCAGCACTTATAATTTAGACATTCAACTAAACTTTGTGTGCAAATCTGGAGGCTTCATACACGAATTTACAGTTGGGCTAGCAAAAATTTAAGCCCATTTAAATTCTTAAGCTCAGCTTCATCTTTTTCCTTAAAACGGTGTAGCCACCGTATGTCGATCTATCTATATTCAAGACCTCTTCTCCAACGCGGCTGCATAACCGACATAAAGTTACATTCAATCAATCATTTATGATTGCTATAACACCACTGACCCACTTCTTTGAGAACCTTTTAAAGTAGATCCAACGATTGAAGAACCACCTCCGTATTTCAAAAGACACTTTTGTGATGAGCAAACTAATCCACATTGAGGTCTTCGGAACCCTAATCTGAAGCCTTTTGTTGATTCCACATCTCCATCGTTTGCAAACCCTTCTTCCCAAACCTCCCCAGCTGAACGATATTTGAACCCAATTTCAGATCAACATCGTCGAGCCATATCACACCGCGCTAATCGATAGAATCAGGCATAACGACATCACCGAAAGATAAGGCACGTCATAGGTGAACGATAGACTGATGGCTGACACAACATCGCAAAAGATAAGGATACGACGGTAGAACGAGTAGAAGAGGCTGCGGCGGAGATAAAGCTTGCCGGCATTTCGAAGAAGAAACTTTTTGTTTTGGTCTCTATTCTTCTCCTAAACTCTAGCTGCATATAAGTCAATGAGAAGTTAAACTTGATGCTCTGTTATACCTCTGCTTATGATTTACAGTTATTATAAATACGTTCTTAGAACTAAATGTTAATAACCTGTTTGATGAATTGCTTCTAAAGAAAATGAATTGCCTTCTGAGTACTGATCTATTTTGTATTCTTTTATGGTTTTCAGATTTAGAGGACGAGCTTAAGAAGAACTTAGAACATGGTTATACATTACTGTGTATAATTTATATGTGGTTAGCTGATAGCATGGGACAATGATAACAAATATATTAAGACTAAGTATTGTGTCTGGTAAAGTTTCAACACAAGATGCTACACGTAACGCCTTACTCTGGGTATGTAAAACGCCTCGCGATACATATGTACAATTTTCTTTGAAAAATGAATTTGGGATGTAGCAGTGATTTCTCTCTGTTTGATCCTTTATGCAAACAAATAGTGGGAGGTTGCTGGCTACCATGATGTTCAGGTCACAGAAGGAAGCTCTAACCTTTAAAGTACGATCTTTCTCTCCTCTCTTAAATATTAAGCAATAGAAACTGTTAGTTCCTTGATAGCAACAAAGTCAAACTGTTGTTATGACTTATCTTTATCTATGTGTTTGCTGTTTTGATCCAAGATGGGATTCCCCGTGTAGCTGATTTTTTTTGCATTGTAAAAATGGGCTAAGAGATCTCTTCCTCTTCCGAGTAGAAACAAATGTGACAAAAGTGCAGTTGAGTTTCTGTTGAGAGGGTCTTAGTCTTCGGGAGAAGTCACCATTCTCGCCCTCATACCCTTAATCATTCTTGCAATAGTAAGAATCATAATATTTAATCTTACTTAAAACTCAATTTGAGTTTGTTAGCTTGATGGTTTCTTTCCATCTTAGCCCATCATATGTGATATTTAATTAGCGATTAAGGTGAAAATGATTGTTGTACTTGGTGAAACTTTCTTTGCGTTAGGGAATTTCAATCCCCCAGCTGAAACGAGTGTACAACACTCTCTGAACCTCTTATTCATTCTTCTACAATGAAAAATGCAGATTTCATGTTCTGGATATTATTCTTTCACTGCAGATATATGGTGACCCGGACGCAGCTGTTGTTGAGTTCATGTCTGGAGATGATATCACTGTTGTTGGGATAAACATCACTACTCAACTCAAACTAACAGGTAGGGAAACCGTCCTCCTTCTCTATCTCCTTTAGACATTCCTGATCGCATAATAGTCCGCTGAAAACATGTCTCTTCTACTGTTTTAGATGATGACCTCTTAGCGCTGCGTGACTTTAAGGGAAACACACGAGATTGTTAAGTGACATGTGCAAATTTTACAGAGCTTGGGACGTCAAATCTGATGATGTTTATGATAAAAAAAGAAACTTTGATCTAAAGATGGTTATGAAGTTCCAAGTTTTGATTCAATTTTTTATTGTTGTTGGTTTTAGGAGTGTTCGGGTGGGGACTCAGGTTGCGGCCGCAGGCCCACTTGCTCATGGATCAAGCGCTCAAGAGGTCTTATTCTATAAACTTTACTCTTCACATGAAAAGAAAGAATTGTAGATGGAGATGGAGATGGAGCTGGAGCAATCCATGGGTGAGATTTTGACTATCTGCGGCGTGGACTATAGATGTAGAGAGACTTTTGGAATATATCAAGGAATGCTGATGAAACTTAATTCAAATATTTAAGATATGTATTTGAGCTGTACAAAAGCAAAACTTATGTAAAAAACATAGCAGTGCAAACTATCTATTTTTTTTTTTAGTTTAGGTTGTTGGCAAAGAGATAAATTTCAGATTAATAGATTTGAAAAGATCAATAGTAGATTATAAAAAGTAAAATAGAATCTTGTAAAAGAAATTAAAATAGAATTAGTAGAGTATTGGGAATTTAGCGAGTAAAGAGAAGCACATCACATTATGATCATTAATATTTAATTTATTAAGTAACAAAATTTAATTTTACAATTAGTAAAAATCTTAAATTGCATATTTACTTATTATCTTATAAATACAAGGAAATATTATAATAATAAATATGTTGAATCCAAAATTTCAATTAATATTTATCTAATCAATATAATTAACAATTTAAATAAAACTTTACCTGAAATACATAATAATTACTGGTATATTTTCTTTTATTATAATTACAGGTGTATGTTTAGACCAAAAAAAATACTGGTATCTTTTCTATAAATATATCAGTTATATATTTATTATGAATTTATAAGTATATATATATAACAAAATTCATATAAGTCAATCATTTATGTCATTCAAATAAAACAGCGAAGACATGATAAAATGTTTACAATAATGTACTATAAATGTATAATTACGTAAATTATATATTTAAATAATGTTAAAAGATTTAAAGTTAATTAATTTTAAAAAGTTGGCTTTTAAATACAAACTTAAGTACATAAACATGCATATTTTAAAAAAAAAAATCACAAACATAAAATTTAAGTAAATCCACAATGTTTTAATAATTTTAAAACTATTAGTAGGTAAACTTAGTTATTACCATAAATATGTGCGTAGGGCGGATAGAATATCTAAAATAAAACATAAATATGTTTTGCGTTAACGAAAATTTACTCAGTAAGATAAAGCTTAAGAATGTGAATTGGCTTGGCTAATATATCATCTATTGGATACAACAACAAACTTATATTGTATCGTTTTAACGGTCCAACTTTGTAAGTTGTATACCATATGTTATATAAATAGAAGATGTTGAAAATTGCAGTAGTATCCATACTTAAAATTCTCATTCTCTTACATACTTGAAAACAAGAGATGTTTTGGATAGAAATTTGATATTGATGCAGTTCGGTTTGATATAGGTGTCAACATGTTTGATCATGGGTTCCAAGAAGTTTCCATCTCATGTGTCAATTTACTACTGCTGAGGCACATTCTTAAACCCCTTAATGTGTTAAACCGAAGCTTTTGTGTAAATTTCAAACTCCATGGCACGTTCCACTAACCGCGTAAGCCACTACAAAACTTATTTGAGACAGTATCATCAAAACAAACAATATCAGATTATCCAACAAATACAGAACCACATCCTGAGAACTCAATTATTGGGCTAAGACATCCAAAATATAGTAAACACACTTGCTTGGAACACAAGCCACCCGCTACTTTAAAAAAACAATCATATAACCACCATTCTTCTACCACTTATTTTCATCAAAGCTTCTAGATAACCATATCACCAAATACTTACTATGCTACACACAACATACAAACACTACACAACACAAAATAGTTTACACCATCAATCAATAACCCGAACACATATAACTCCACCTTAAGAAAAACGTATCCGCACTATATTACATAACAATAACACAAATTCAAATTCAATTTCTTTAAACAAAAAAAAAAAAATCAATCAATAATCCGCGCGAAGCGCGGACATACCACTAGTATATAAATAAAACTGCATATTATAAATAAATAGATAGGTAGAAATCAATGGAGTTCCAATCTCAAATCTCTTTGATGATCTTCTCTCCAAACTAAAAACCCTAAACTTTTTGCTGTGAAAAAATTACAAAAAAAACTCTCTCTCTCTCTCTCTCTCTGCCTCTAACTCTTTGGAAGAGTATATAAATTTAGGTTAAAACTCATCAAGGGTAAAATCGTCATTTGGTGATGATTGGGCTTCAAGTCAACTTGTCTCTCGAATTGGCTTATGGGTCTTGATAATCGATCGATTATGCAGTATGCATGTCGATCGATCCGGGTCTCTCTATGTCGGCCTTGGATCGAGTATGAATCGAACGCTTCTTCCAACTCTCTCCAAAATGCTCCAAAAACATCACTTTCTTCCAAAATACCCCTGAACTCATAAATATGCTTAAAAGATTCTATAGTGTAGTAAAGTAGTAAAACACTAATATACCATGACTAAAAACAGGTGAAATTCATGGTATATCAACTCCCCCAGACTTACCTTTTTGCTGGTCCTCAAGCTAAACAAACAGGTAGTCTCTCTGCATGAGGTTTGAAAAGAACAGGGACTCACAGATTGAATAAATTTTGAAATCATAACCTCTAAATATTACAATCCACATCTAAAAAGTTCTAATCACAGAAGTTCATTATGCAATATCCTACCTTAGCAACCAGATTCATCTAACCAAAAACTTAGCAAATACTATCTGATATTCCCCTCAACTAACCTCATTTCTTTGCATAAAATAAAAGTGTAGGCTTTACCTTGGGAGTATCGATCAAAGGATGCAAGGAAACTCAAACAAGTATATGGATCTGCATGTAAAAATTAGTTCCTATCTTTTCTTTCTTCTAAGTTCTCTCTTGAGTCAAAATCTGCTTTAAGGCAAGATTATTGATCAAGATTGGACAGACTTCCAAGAAACAAGCCTTAATGGTTGTAGCCACTAAGTCCTGATCACTTCTTTTTGACCTATATCCAAGAATTCATATGAAGTGATCCTTAATGGTTGTAACCACCAAGTCCCATTCGAATTATTTACTGGAATCATAATTGAAGCAAGCCTTAATGGTTTTAGCCACCGAGTCCTGTTATGATTCCTCCTAACTAAAAACATAATAATCTTAGTACTATTTTGGATTTTTTTTTTAAATAGATACGAAAACTAATCTACTAAACTATATAGGGTCAAAATAGAGAGAGAAAAGGTGATAAATCTACACAAGGCTTTACCTTCCAGACTTGTTTGAAGAATCCGATCCCATGTATGCCAAGTCCCAAGACAAGTAGTTGTATCAGGTTTAGTGTTGGAGGTAGTTTTGGTTCTTTCAAACATTCTAAGAAAGTGTGGATATCTTATTGGTTGTTCCACTTTAGCATCTTTAGTACTATCTGTAATCATAAAATCTAGAGTGGTGCGAAAAAGCGGTTAGATAACAAGTATAAATCAAATACAATCATTATCCCTTTTCTTGAGCTTAATAAAAAATAACTTTGAAAACAAAATTTTATAAGACTCAAAGAAAATAAAACATCAGTAACTTCCCCCCAGGCTTAAATTACATTGTCCCAGTGTAAAGAAAATTGGAGTGATGGCGAAAGAAAAGAAAGTAATAGTACTGAATGTAACAAAGAAGGAAAAATGGACCTGACCAAACTGAATAATCGATCGATGTGAGTAGAAGAACATCGATCGTCGCAAGTGGGTGTCTGTCGATCGATATCGACTGCTATGCGTCGGCCAACGAGATGGTCATTCGTTTCTCCTTGGTTCTCTCTTTTTTTTTTTTTTTTTGTAAAACCTGCAAAAAATTGTAAAACGAAAAAGAATCAGTAAATGAAAAGAAAACCAAAAGAAAGATTACCAAACAGTGGGTTGCCTCCCACTCTACGCTTTGTTATAGTCATTTAGCTTGACTGTTGCACTGGTTGAGCTATGGTGTGGAAAAGGAGCTACTTGTTGGAAAACAAGTATCCATAACTTCTCTGTTGATGCTGAACCAAGTAGCCATGAAACTTCTTGTGGCTTCATCACGTCTGGCCCATCTTGCATCGTTCACGTCTACAATGTTCTGAAGTCTTTCTGGAAGACTCTCAATGTTGTTGATGTTCCGTTGAACTTTATCGTAGACATGGTCTGTCATCTCTCCTAACAGCTGATTTCCTTCTGGGACAGATTTGGAATCGATCGCCTCAAAAGTTGTATTCTCGATCGCTTCTGGTGAAACATCATCGATCGACGATTTGAACTTAGGTCGATAGGCGAGTCGTTTCTGAATTGTTCTTACTTTCTTCCTCAACCAATCTGTTCCTGAACGTAGTCCGGTGATGTTGTTGTTGAAAGGGAAGAAGATGTCATCACATCTCTTGTCAAGCCTATCCTCAGTTGTGTTCAGAGCGTTGTAGATCTTCTCAACAATCTAGTCAACCTCTGCATTGGTATAGAAGTCTTGCTCTGGTATTTTTCCGACATCGACGATTTCCTCGAGTGGGTATCGATCGATTAGGGTTTCCTATGCTTCTCCTTGAAGATTTCATCCAAATCTTGCTATAGTAATTCAATCCTCATGCTTAATCAGTTGATGTTTTTGGTGAGGTGGTGATCTATCGCGTCAATCATGGTATCCCATGTAGCTATCTGATTTATCGTCGGTTCGTTCTTTGCTGATCTGTTGCTAGCATCGATCGATTCGTCCTTCGTGACATCGATCGATTGCAAACACTGTGTCTTCAGTCTAGCTAATTCTACTTCCATTGCTTTCATCCTTGTTGTCAATCATGTAATGCCTCCTTTCAAAACTACGTATGATGTGTCCTGATTGCTGGTGAGCTTAGCCATTTCTTCCTCTTGCGAATCACTCATGCAACCAATCATCTCGTTTATCTCATCTTTGGTGTAGAGCTCTAGCTCCCAAACTGCATCTCGAGTTTTGTCGAGATCGACCGATGTGCGTGTTTGCTTGTCGATCGCTGGAGAATTACACTTGACAATCGATGGTGGTGCTTCTGTGTCAATCGATTGCTGCTGCGTTACACCAAATTGTTGCTGAAAGATATTTTCTGTTCCATTGGCCATCTGAAGGATATCTGCTATGTCTTCTTCGGACACATGTAGAATCCTTCCATCCAAT